CCTTAGGAACGCGACTGGCTTTCAGTTGGTTTCCACACATAATTCAAGCGCGGGTTTTAAAACCCTCAAACATAGGCTAGGACCAAAGTGTCCATAGGATTGTCCATTCCAATAGAAACCTGCCTCATTTGCAGAGGTCACTGCAAGACCTCATTGCCTGTGCTCCACCTCCCTCGGAGGCTGCTCGTTTTCAGGGTCAGGACTCTCTCAGGAGGAGGAGCCCCCCCCGTTGTACAACTGCCCCCCCCCAGGAAGGTCCACCTGGTACCTTTCCTCCTCCTCTTTTGTTCCTCAGCAATGAAGCACAAGAGGGGAAGAGATGTCCTGGGGAGGAAGTGTTTGGCACTTTCACTCTTGTCTTTGAAGGAGATGGTGTATTGCAAACATAAATGTGGTGTTCAAGCCAAGTGCTGGGTCCGCATGCTTGCTTCTGCCTCTTGCTTTGCCTCCTACCCAGGAAACCTGGATCCTTATTTGAACACTGTGTTACCCCACACTCACACAATAGCACAAAACACGAATATTTTATTAAACCAGACAAACGTATGATATGAACAGAACCGTATAACTAAGAGGTTCCTCAAACATGAGGGTTCTTAGGTATAGCAGAGTTATAAATGGAACAAACACCTAAAAATGCCATGACAAAAACCTTCATTCTTTATTCTGGAAAGAAATGACCCCGTGATTTGTCTTATCAAGGTTCAGCTAAGTTGCTGCTGAAGTAAACTTCTGTTTCTCACCAGATAAGTTCTCCAACAGAATTAGTCCCACTCTTACGACAGAGTTCCCTGTCACTTCGCAGAGAAACCCTTTTTTAGTCTTTTATGGTCTCAGTTCGGGGGGGGGGGCCTTGCCACCAGTCCCGCTCCCCTCCTGCTGCAGTTCAATGCCTTTGTCGTGCTCTCCGTCTTTCTCTGCACTGCCGATTTCCAAAAGCTCTGTGTTTTTCTTCCCCTTAAATTCTTGCTGTTGCGCTGACCTGGGTAGCCCAGGAGGCAAGCCCGGTCTCATCAGATCTTGCAAGCCAAACAGGGCCGACCCTGGCAGGTCCGTGGAAGGCCTGGGATGCAGAGGCAGGCAACAGGAAGCCATCTCTCCGAAGCGTCCAAGCACTAGAAGTCAGCCATGACATCCAGGCAGACACACACACACACAAACACTCACCAGGGGGAAGAAAACATTCTTGCTGTCCTGCCAGAGAAGCTGGCTCCTCTCTCTTCTTTCTTCCTCCCTCCTAATCTCTGCTAATCATTTGTCAAAACCAGACCCTGCCCTTGCCTTTGACAACTGCCGGCCTTGCTCTGCTGGCCTGTCAGCTACGAGTGGGGAGGCTGCCGTCTGGTTCCTGCAGAACTGATGTTGTTGAGAGGAAGCTGGCTCTTTCTTGGTCTTTCCTCTCCAGGACATCTCTTCCCCTCTTGTGCTTCATTGCTGGGGAACGTTTTTTTGGAGCTGGGAGGAGGCACAGCTCTGAGCTCCAGTTGGAGGGAGCTGTTTCTTCCCCTTTCTTCCCTATTTTACACCAAATTTGCAAAACTAAGACCCCCTCCTCAAAGTCTTGCAGTGCAGGGGTAGCCTTACAATTCAGGGCCGTACAGTCCCTGCTTGGATGGTGCTGGCAGCCGATGTCCCTTGCAGAATGTCCGGAAGAGTGGATGATGAAACACACCATTTCCCAGGGGATGGAAAGGGTGAGGCTGGCGGGCATCTGGTAGGAGCGGCAGGCTGTTGTCCTCTCCTCTCCCTCGGTGTGTGATTGCAGCAGGCAGGATGGCAAACAAGGGCCCACTCCAGTGACATCAGCCCATATGAGCCACTCAGCAGATCAGCAACTAATAAAGAGCTCCGCTCAGAACACCTGACATAACTAGCTGCTTGTGTAGTAGCTGAGTCACAACCATGCTAACATTTTAGCTTTATGAATTCCACACACCACCTAATAAGAGTGAAAGTGCCATACTAAACAGAGTTACAGCCTTTTAAGTCTACTGAAATCGATGGGCTTAGAAGGGTGTAACTATATTTAGGATGGCCCTGTGGATAACTTAACTCATCCAAGTAATTATATAACTTTGCCTTAGATATCTATTTTCCCTTTTGCCTGCATTTCACTTTCTGCCATTAGAAGGACAGACTACAGTAAGCAAAATGCAGCAGAGACCAGGAAATGACTCACGGGCAATGGGGGGGGGGGCGCTTGGGAGGGAGAGAGACTCAACAAGAGTGTGTTAAATTGACCACCTTGTCCCTTTTAAGTGTGTGTGTGTGTGTGTGTGAGCGGCTCCTGAAAAGAATTCAGAAGCTTGAAACTTTTTAGCTTCAGAGATGATTTACAGAGATTCCTAACCCCAGCTCTCCAGATGAGCGTCTGCTGCTCTCAACCACGACACCAAACTGGACTTCAGGAATCTTTCATCCAGATTCTCATTCTCAAACATTTAGTACACTTCCTGTTTTCGTCCTATGCAAATTTCTTGTTAGAGCTCTGTCACACCAGCAGAACCTCCATTTGCAAACTCTTCTGACTCTGGCTGCACCCAAAATCGTGTTGACAAAGGAAAGTGGAAAGTTGGACACAAGAAACCTGCTGAGCTCCAGAACAAAAAACTGTTGGCATTAACAGAATCTTTTGACAGGTCCAGACTGGCTGAAAATGACATGAGGCGGCAGCAGCAACATGCATCACACGGTCACATCTTCTTCCCCGTTCAGCAGGGCTAGCTGCTCTCATGGGGAGGCCTCCTTGAAGAACGAAAATCCCGGTCTGGACAACAGGTTTCCCCCGTTCGCTCTTCCTTGCCAATCTCTCTCTTTGTTCCCTCCCCTTTCGTATCATGGTTTCCTTTGCCACCCTGATGAAGATGTCTGTGCAACTTGAAGATATTCATGCTTGTAATTCAACAGAATTTTTTTGGCCCAACAGAAGATCTCCACAATTCTTTCTATACTCAAGACAAAACCTTTGCAAAAGTGTCAGTTTCAAAGAAACCAATGCCCCCAACTGCCAGTCTTAACACATGCTGAGAAGAACATGAATATAGTCTCCTTCTTCTTCCCACCACAAACAAAATAGTGCTGTAGTCTCCGGAAGCCTGCAGCACAACACTACCAATTGTATGGAAAGGAGAAAGGCACTGCACCTGAAAAACGAATGGCCAACCAATGCATTTAGCATCTAGATCAGAGATACTCATTCGTTTATTTGATTCTTACCCCGCCCTCCCCTCCCCACCCAGGCTTGGGAGCCACCTGTAACTCCTCTGAGCACTGCTCCAGTGTGGCACCTGCGCCATCCTTCAGGAAAGTGGGCAAGGCCCTGGCCTGGTGGGTCTTGTGGCTGGCCAGAGGAATGGGCACGGCGTGAGCCTCCCTCAGGTGCAGTCCTCATTCCAGGGATGGCCGAGGGCTCTTAGCCACAGGGTGAGTACCAGTGACCTATATTCTCTTTCTCATCAACCAGCCTCCAGGAATATACTGGGCCCATACGAGGGATAGGATGGGAGTTAGGGGGCATTCTTACCCTTTCTAAATCTCACCATGGAAATAAACTGTACTGTACACATTTTTTCCCCAACTCGACATTTTAATTTGAAATCAGCAAATTAGTAAGCCTGACAGTTATAAAAATGTGCTAGAAAGAGAAAGTCCAGGATTAGGTCGCACTGAATGTTTATTTGGGGCGGATATCCAACACAGGAGTCATGTTTTTTTAGCGTAAGTATTTCACATGCGCGACTTGACTGTGCAACTGAACAACAACATTTCATATGGAATGGAATTACTGGTTGTTCTGGCATATATATAACATACAATTAGGTGGAATTTTTGGTGTTTTCTTATTAACTAGAAATAAGGCCCGTTGTGGAAATAAATACAACGGGATCTAGAAACAGTGTCAGTCTGCTTTTAAAACATGAATCTGGGACCTGCACACCACCAGAATACAGCAGATTCCATATGCAACTGACATTCCAACTGCCTTGTGGGGGGGGAGTTTGAGGTGTGGAATGGAGTGAAGTCCAATCAGCTTCCATATGCAAAAGACCAGGTTGTCGCAGCAGTTGTGGTGTGGGCGGGACCCGGGCTTTGCCTTCTGATTGGTGGCGATATATGCTGAGGAGCAGTGCCATCAGCCATACACTAAGGGAGTGCATTTTAGAATTAGAACTTTGGCACCCACTATTCAATTATATATAAGGAGAGATAATTGCAAATTGGTATTGGTACGTTTTCTACTGGTATTTTGTACATATATGCTAGGTAAAAGGTAAAGGTTTCCCTTGCTTGAAAGCTAGTCGAATCCAACTCTGGGGGGGGGGTGCTCCTCTCCGTTTCCAAGCCGAAGAGCCAGTGCTGTCCAAAGACATTTCCTTGGTCATGTGGCCAGCATCTAAATGCTGAGTCACACAGAATGCCGTTACCTTCTCACTGTTTATCTACTTGCAGTTACTTGCTTTCCAACTTGCATCATCAAGTGATGACTTACGTACGGCCACCCCAACAAGGGGCTTCCAGGGCCAGTGAGAAGCAGCAGCAGAGGGGGTTGGTCGTGGCCTTCCTCTGTGGAGTCTCCCATCCAAATACTAACTCTGCTTCGCTTCAAAATCTGATGAGATCAGGCTATACTTTTAAATGGTCTGATGATTTTAAATTGTTAAACTGTTTTTATTGTTTTATTTTTTATAATGCAATTATTTATTAGATTTATACCCTGCCATCCCCACCAAGGTAGGCCGCCCTGAGCCTGCCCGGGCAGGGAGGGCGGGGTATGGATCTAATAAAGAACCCTCTGCCCCATGCGCCACCTCCCTCCCCCTGGAGTTTTGCGAGTGATTTCCGTACAAATAAAAAGGCCTACTGTCAACAGTTCTGCTTAAAGGCCTGACATCAGCACTGGTTGCGCCCTGGTAAAGACCGAAAGGGTGGGGGGGGCGCCTAGGGGGCGGGAAGCAGAAGAGGCACTCAGACAGAAGCCACACCCTTGCCAGTTCCCTCACCTGTGTAGCCCCCGGTGGCTTTGATGAACATCTGCCCGTACTGCTCTTCCGCCATGGTGTCGTAAGCGTCGTCCTCTTCTTCGTCCTCTTCGTTGTGGTAGGACGTAGGGCTGTCCGTGGCTGGGATGCTGCTGCTCCCAGGGCTGGTCCGCTCCCCTTGAGCGTACTGCCCCAGTGGTACGTTTGGGAGAAGCGTGGCCAGGCTGGGCACTCCATAGTAGGCCACACGAGATAGCTTCAGTGAAGCAGTGCTGGAAGAGCCCCCGCCAGTTGCGTCCCGCAGGCTGGCCTCCAGGGACCTTTTGGTTGCTAGGCTCGGCGTTGCTGTGGGCTGCAGCTCCAGGTTTTCATGCTTGACCCGCGTGAGGAGTGGGATTGGCATGGAAGGGGACATGACACAGGGCACGGGAGTGGCCTGCAGTGGATTGCTAGGACTTTGTGGTTCCGAGCTGGGATCTTCTATCATGGTGGTTTGGGAATCACAGTGAGGAGAGCTCACTTTGAACATCAAGTCTGTTCCTTTCTCCACAATGTGCTGGATCTGGAGGAAACCTGCCGTGTACATTACCACAAGTTGCTCGCTTGCAGCCATGGTCAGCTTCCCAGTGTAGCAAAAGGAAAGGATTTGCTGGAAGCAAGCGGGGGGCACTGAACCAGGGAGCTCAAACGCACTCTTGCTGTTCCCAGTAAACAAGTCTCTGAAGTAGAGGCTGCTGGCGGCCAAGACCGCCCGGTGGGCCTTGAAGGCCTGTCCCTTCACGACAATGGAGACGTCGCAGTAGAGCCCCAGCAGCCTCTGCTCGTTCAGGGTGCCCAAGACGGTGTTCCCAAAATTGGGAATTTCTATGTGCAACATCTGTGACATGGCTCAGCTAATCCTTACAAATCCAAAAGAGGGCACATCTGTGGGGAGAAGGAAAAAATGAAACATAATCAAGACAGAAAAAGAAACAAGGCATCAAAAGAGAGAGGAAAAAAACAGCCAACGAAATTTGCATCCTGCTCTTCTTGCAAATGTTTCCTGAGAAACACCCACACGAGAAGCAGAAGAACTCAGGGTTAACAGGGCTTCAAGAAATCCCGCCTGTTCTGTGGAGCACTGCAACTACCACTCCTAATGAGCAAACCCTCCACAGTTGATGAACAAAGGCAGCCAGAGGAGTCCATGGAGTTCATTTCTGCACTTCCTGCTGCAATTGTCCCTTGAAATTATTTTGGGCTGTCCCAGGAAACTCATAAGTTAGAAGATGGGGGAGAACATGCTTCCTGCAACTATGTCAAGTTAGTCCTCCGAGTTCCAGCCTCCTCAAACCTGAATCATGTGGGGAAAAGGTAAACGACGGATCTACATGGATCTCATGAATTCATATGATTTTTACATTGAAACAAAATAAAACCACCATCATACTGCAGACCATGTCTTAAGACTATAGGCAGCACTCCAAAAATCATGCCCCCAGGAATTCATGACACCACAAAACTGCAAAAACATGGTTCCAAAGCACGGATCCTCATGGATCCTCAGGGTTTTTCAATTGGGGCACCCCAAACACACCATCAAATCACATAACACGTCCACGTCCACAGCTTGCACCACAAAAATCACAGATCCACGGCTTTGTGGTGACACCATTCTGCAAAAACATGATTCAGAAGCACAGATCCTCATGGATCCTCAGGGTTTTTCAATTGGGGCACCCCAAACACACCATCAAATCACATAACACGTCCACGTCCACAGCTTGCACCACAAAAATCACAGATCCACGGCTTTGTGGTGACACCATTCTGCAAAAACATGATTCAGAAGCACAGATCCTCATGGATCCTCAGGGTTTTTCAATTGGGGCACCCCAAACACACCATCAAATCACATAACACGTCCACGTCCACAGCTTGCACCACAAAAATCACAGATCCACGGCTTTGTGGTGACACCATTCTGCAAAAACATGATTCAGAAGCACAGATCCTCATGGATCCTCAGGGTTTTTCAATTGGGGCACCCCAAACACACCATCAAATCACATAACACGTCCACGTCCACAGCTTGCACCACAAAAATCACAGATCCACGGCTTTGTGGTGACACCATTCTGCAAAAACATGGTTCCGAAGCATGGATCCTCATGGATGCTTGTGGTTCCTGTGTTGGGACACCCCAAACATACCATTAAATCCCATACCATGTACATGGCCACTACCTCCACCAGACAATTCATGGATCCACAGCTTTGTGGCAACACCATTCTGCAAAAACATGGTTCCGAAGCATGGATCCTCATGGATCCTCAGTGTTCCTGTGTTGAGTCACTCCAAAAACACCATGAAATCGCATATCATGTCCATGGCAACAGCTTGAACCATAAAAATCATGAATCCACAGATTCGTGGCAACACCATGCTGCAAAACCATGGTTCCGAAGCACAGGTTCTCATGGATCCCCAGTGTTTTTGCATTTGGTCCCCATGAAATCATCATCAAATCACATATAATGTCCACAAGCACAGCTTAAACCACAGAAATCATGGATCCACAGCTTCGTGGCAACACCATTCTGCAAAAACATGGTTCTGAAGCACGGATCCTCACGGATCTTTGGGGGTTTTGAACTGGGTCACTCCAAACCCACCATATAATCACATAACATGTCTGTGCCAACTGCTTGAACCGCAAAAATCACAGATCCACAGCTTCCTGGCAACACCATCCTGCAAAAACGTGGTTCTGGAGCACAGATCCTCATGGATCCTCAGGGTTTTTCCAGTTGGGTCACCCAAACATCACCATCAAATCACATATCATGTCCATGGGCTCAGTTTGAACCACAGAAATCATGGATCTACAGCTTCGTGGCAAAGCCATTAAGCCAATCACATAACATGTTGTCAGCAAGCTGCCATGGTGTTCTGTGTAACTTCTGGTTGTACAGTGTGTGTCCCTGTCCCTGCCAGCTGGCCTATGTGTTTTCCCTGCTGTAATGCCAAAGTAAAACAACTGGAGGATGTGAGGGGGAGAGTATGCTTCGCTGCTGGCTTCTTACTTATCAAGCCTGTGAACTGCACCTGTGTTATGTCTACTGTTCGCCTGGTTCCCAGGAACTGAGCAAGCAACCGTTTTCTCCTGCCCGCCAGCGGGAACGTTATCCATTGGTTGTGTATCTAACTTGAATCCCTTTATCATGTCTGCCCTAACTGCTTGTACCCAGTTCTAACAAGGAACGTGTTTGAGTACCTTTCCAATGCTTTGAAATAAACTTTACTTTCTTTGAAACGTGGATTTATTCTCGATGCTTGGGGATCCAACACATGTCCATGGCAACAGTTCGAATCACAAAAATCACGGATCCAAAACTTCGTGGCAACACCATTCTGCAAAAACATGGTTCTGGAGCATGGATCCACAGGGTTTTTCAGTTGCGTCACCCCAACATCACCTTCAAATCACATATCATGTCCATGGCCACTACCTCCACCAGAGAATTCATGGATCCACGGCTTCGTGGCAACACCATGCTGCAAAAACTTGGTTCCAAAGCACGGATCCTCATGGATCCTCAGTGTTCTTGCATTGGGTCACCATGAGCACACTATCAAATCACATATCATGTCCACGGGCACAGCTTGAACCACAGAAATCATGGATCCACAGCTTTGTGGCAACACCATGAAGCCACAACATGGTCCTGAAGCACGGATCCTCATAGATCTTCAAGGTTTTCGTAATGGGACACTCCAAACACACCATCAAATCACATAACGTTTCTATGCCAACTGTTTAAACCGCAAAATTCATGGATCCACAGCTTCGTGGTGACAACGTTCAGCAAAAACATCATTCTGGAGCACGGATCGTCATAGATGCCTGAGGTTTTTGTGTTGGGACACCCAAACTTACCATTAAATCCCATATCATTTCCATGGCCACTACTTCCACCACAGAATTCATGGATCCAACGGCTTCGTGGCAACACCATGCTGCAAAAACATGGTTCTGAAGCATGGATCCTCATGGATTCTTAGTGCTTCTACGTTGGGTCACCATGAACTCAGCATCAAATCACATACCATGTCCATGGCAACAGCTTGCACCGCAAAAGTAATGCATACACGGCTTCAGAACCTTCTTTTGGCCCCGTGGTGTTGTCACGACGCTGTGGATTCATGTTGTCTGTGGTTCAAGCTGTGCCTGTGGACATGATATGTGATTTGATGGTGAGTTTATGGTGACCCAATGCAAGAACACTGAGGATCCACGAGGATCCGTGCTCCAGAACCAAGTTTTTGCAGAATTGTGTCACCATGAAGCTGTGGATCTGTGAATTTTGCGGTTCAAATAGTTGCCATGGACATGTTATGTCATTTGATGGTGTGTTTGGAGTGACCCATTATGAAAATCTTGAGGATCCACGAGGATCTGTGTTTCAGAATAATGTTTTGGCTTAATGGTTTTGCCGCGAACCTGTGGACCCATAATTTCTGTGGTTCAGGCTGTGCCCGTGGACATGATATGTGATTAGATGGTGAGTACATGGTGACTGAACACAGAAACACTGAGGATCCATAAGGATCCGTGCTTCTGAATCATATTTTTGCAGCATGGTGTTGCCACGAAGCCATGGATCCATGAATTCTCTGGTGCAAGTGGTGGCCATGGACATGATATGTTATTTGATGGTGATGTTGGGGTGACCCAAGTGGAAAACCCTGAGGGTCCATGAGGATCTGTGCTTTGGAACCATGTTTTTGTAGAATGGTGTCGCCATGGAGCCGTGGACATATGATTTCTGTGGTGCATTCTGTGGCCATGGACAAGGCGTATTATTTGATGGTGATGTTGGGGTGACCCAAGTGGAAAACTCAGAGGGTCCATGAGGATCTGTGCTTTGGAACCATGTTTTTGTAGAATGGTGTCGCCATGGAGCCGTGGACATATGATTTCTGTGGTGCATTCTGTGGCCATGGACATGATATGGGATTTAGTGGTATGTCTGGGGTGTCCCAACACAAAGAACCCAAGCATCCATGAGGAACCCTGCTTCAGAATCATGTTTTTTCAGAACGGATTCACCACGAAGCCATGGATCTGTGATTTTTGTGGTGCAAGCTGTGGACGTGGACGTGCTATGTGATTTGATGGTGTGTTTGGGGTGACCCAATTGAAAAACCCTGAGGATCCATGTGGATCTGTGCTTTGGAGCCATGTGTTTGCAGTTTTGTGGTGCCGGGAATTCCTGGGGGCATGATTTCTGGAGTGCTGCCTGTAGTCTTAAGACATGGTCTGCAGTAGGATGGTGGTTTTATTTCATTTCAGCATAAAAATCCTGCTCTGGAATCATGTTTTTGCCCTTGTAGACTGACACATGACCTACAACAGGATGGTGGTTTCATATACAAGTTTCCATGTGAAAACCCTATGAACCCATGAGGACCCATGCAGATCGGACTTTTGCCCAGACCCAACGATGCCCTTCTTAGAGATCCCGGGCAGAGCTCGTCTGAGCATCTTGAAGTACGTAGCCCTTAAAAGCACCGTCCTCCTGAACCTCTATGACTGAGCAGGAGACGCACAATGATGTCTAGGAGGGGAGGAGACACGTGGGAACTGCAGCAACTTGGAGCGACCAGCCGAGAGGGGGACGCCG